CCCCCCAATATACCCTGTTAGGTTAAGCTTCACGTGGTCTCCCTTAGAAACCATTGTGATGAATTCCAGGTGTATTCATGGCTAACTGACCTGCCTTTTCATTCTCATTTATCATTCCTCACTGATGCCTCGCCACCGTATACTGATAGCGTAGGCGGGGTTACTATTTCATTATCATTCATTTAAAAATAATAGATATATTAAATTATTTTGAACATTATAATTATTCTCTTTTTTTATTTATTCTTCGCCCAATATAAAATGTCCATGTCTGTACAAATAGTCTATAGGATAATGAGAGAAAGCCGACTGTTGCAGTTATAGTGAATATAGCACTCGATTTAATCGTATATTTACGAGCATAATGAAATCCAAAGTATTAGCAAGCGAGTCTACCTTCTAGGAGTGATTAGGTTGTGATGACATCATAGGTCATAGATGTTTAACCTTGGGCGAAATTCAGTTTTGTATTTAGAAGACAAAATCATTAAAATGGTAGGCGTTTAATTATTCGAATGGTAATGAAGAGATATATTTATAGAGATAGCTTTCGCGTTTTGATGATTTCTGTGCGTTTGCGTAACTGAGGTCCTGGGTTTGATTCCAGGTCGGGTTAATTTGGGATTTTTTTTTATATCTTTTCAAGTTCGGTATTAGAAAAAAAAACGTTTCTATGTCTATTATAATACCATGTTGTTTAATCAAATAGAAACGATTACAGAGATTGATTGAGACAATAATACATAATTAGTGCATAGAATTATGAATCTTTTTTTATAGTACACTCAGGAGATTCCCATCTAGTTAATGTGACATAATGACATAGTTTTTAACGGTGATTAAAGTTTTTATGGCAATCTGTATTGTTTAATATAATGAGGCTTTTCCTATGAATGTCTCATCGCTGAGTCACAGTTTTTCCCGAATTTTCGCATATTATAATGCGTAGGTTTAGGAAAGCCTATAAAAGCAGTGTCGTGTTACCAGTAAGTTCATTGTTACTCATTCTCTGATAGGATAAAGCAATCGAACTTTAGTTCCGTACATCACGCTTGTTCATTATTAGGGTAAGCAGAAACAATACAATCTATTTGCAGATAAGGAGATTTTAAATGACAATTCGGTGTCTAATTGTTTTTTTTTTTATTTGTAAGGAGACGTTTAGTTTAAATATTAAAATTCTAATTTCTAAATGAATATACTCGTATTTATTTCGGCAATTTCCAGTCTATAATAATTTTGCAGTTAAATAATAATCAAGTAATTATCTAATATGTATTTATTTTTAAGGTACATACGTACATACCTGTAACATCTATTTCCCATTAGAGTAGGCAGAAACAATGGAACACCAAATGGTTCGATTCTACTTTGAATTGATCGTTTGAAGGCTCCATATAATATTTTGGTGTTAAGAAGCAATTCTAACTCATAAATTCCTAAACAAACACGATTTCAGCAGCTAATTTAAGTTAACCGTAAACTTACGCTTCCGTGACAGTGACTAGCCACTACACTCTGTTTGCAATGGCATTGTTCGCAAGCCGCAATATAAATCATACTGTCTGTGAATGAGTCGAAAGAGGAAAGCTTATTTGGTACACATTTAACCCTTTAAAGATTAAGGTTATCCGCAGATTGTGTCCTTTATGAATTATTTAACTTTTAAGTATTCACTGAAGTATTAAAATATACACTATACTAATTTTTATCTCCGCAAAAGAACCAAAGACCGACATAGTCCGAAGGATAAGAAATTTGAAGTGGCAATGAGCTGATCATATAGTTTGAAGAACCGACAACTGATGGGAAAGAAATGTTCTTGAGTGGTAACCTCGTATGGGCAAACGCAGTGTAGGTCGATTCCCCACTAAATGGAGTGACGACATTAAATGAATTGCAGGGGGTCAGTGGATACAGATTGTTCAGCATTGTTGCTTATAGCTGTCTATGGCGAAGGTCTATGTTCAGTACTAGACAGATAATTGCTAAGATGATGATGATGATGACTAGTTTTTGCCTGCGACTTCGTTCGCGTGACATGTATATTATGTTGACCGAGTAATCTCATGTTAATTGAATAAGATCAAAGAGATAACAAAACTAAAGTCACATTTAAAATTATAGTATAGATTATTGGTGTTTTACGTTCTTAAATAATGTAAAAGATTATATCGTAATGAATTTATTAATTTATTAAAGTCTTGATATACTTTTTAAGCGATTCAAAAAAACTAGTTCTTTTTTGTACAATATATTATGCGTATATCTTTGTCAATTGTGAACGAACCGGTTTTGGTATTTGGTGTATGTTCATAGCTATGAATGAATGATAAGTGTGAAAATGGGATGATAAATTGTGTAATGTAAAGTTAGTCAACGTAGAAGATGTCATTTCAAGAAAAAATATACTACACATACATACACACACACGCACGTGCACACACGCACGCACTCGCGCGCATTCATACACACACATACACACACACACACACAAATAAAAGAATAGATGTATGTATTATGACTACATAACAGGTAACATGATATGGCTTTCAATTTGAAATGGCAGTTTATATGAATAAGTATGACTCGAGCTCGAGATTTTGTCTTCATATTCTTCAGATGATTTCATATTTTTGACGATTATACGAGTTGATCCTTTCACTATGTTTCAATCAGTTTTTCTTTTATTTAATACAGAATTGTATTAAAAAAAATAAAAAGGAATTAAGATTATTGGACAATTTTGATAAAATAATTTATGCATATATTAAATATTTGTTTATATTGTAGTGAGAAATAAACAGTGTTATAATTATTAAATATTTATTAGAATTATCTTTATGTATATGTGACATCAAAATGAATGAGTAAATACAGTTAGTGGGAAACACATAGAATAGAATGTAATATTCAGTGAAATCCCTAAAGATTTATGTTTTATTAGTTTAGGTACTTATATGTTTATATTAATTTTTTAAGTGAATAACGCGTGAACGGTTTATTAAATTCAGCAGTATCTAATTATTTATATTGGTGAAATTACTAGACTCGTAAATATTTATATAATTGTAATAATAAATTAAAATTTATTAGACAAGATGATGAGTAATGTACAAAACATTTTTATTATATATATATGACTTAATTGCCATTTGATTCACAAAAATGAAAATGTAAGCAGATGTGAATTTTTTAAATATAATTTTCATAAATTATATGTATATTGTTAGCTAATATAAATATCTTTTTAGTTAATATAAATATCTTTTTTTTTGGAATTAGATGATAAATTATTTTTTTTAATGAATGATAATGGAATGGTAACCCTGCCTGCGCTATCGGTATACATTGGCGGGGCACCAGTGAAAGGTGACAGGTGAGGAGGGCAGCAGGTCAGTTAGCTCATGCTGATGAATTCAACTAGAATTAACTACGATGGTTTTTAGGGGGAACTACGTGGAGGTCGATCTGACGAGATAGTAATGGTGCTATTTATTTATTTATTATTTATTTATTCTTTATTGTACAATAAAAGTTTGTATAAGTGGCGAGCTTAATGCCATATGGCGTTTTCTACCATTTTACCTGGCTCCATTCTCCATTCTACATTTCTACCATTAAGTAAAAACAGAAAGCGTATGAATTATGTGATTAATTAGATTTTCACAGTATATTAATTTAGATGTAGTTCTATGTACTATGGCTATAGATAGATTAAAAAAATACTTTTCAAAGGGGCTAAATTGTTGTCAGTTTATATAAGAGAAACAAGATAACGTTAACAGGCTTTCCATGCCACTTTCATCTTATAAAAAAAAAAAAAAACATGTATTGTCAAGGAACTATTTGACAAAAGATGGCGTAAAAAATAAAAGTGTACTTGTACTTAAAGAGAAGAATATGCAGAGGTACATATCAGCCGTTAAATTTTGAACATGGGCCGTCCTCATAAGGAGAGTTTTGCCAGTAGTTATCACGCTTGGCAGGTAGATTGGTGATCGCAGTTAGGCTTTTTTTGCATGTTGTAAGAGGGATGCTGTTGCTCATCCTTTGATAATTAAGTTCTCTTAATTATCAATTATACCGGAACCACATGACACGGGAAAAGGGAATAAGTACAAGATTTAAACTCTTTATTGCCTACAAAATAGATAATATAAGGAGTATTTATATAGAATGTGCATATACAAAAGGCAGTCTTATCATTAAAAGCAATGTCATATAGACAACCTGGCATAAATAGTAAATAAGTACAAAGAGAAAGTAGATGGCGCAAATCAAGTAAATACAAAAAAGTAACCAAATAAAATGCCTATTATTTCAAATATTATTTATATAAAAATAAAACTAAATTACATAAACATACATATATAACATAAATAATAATACATAAACACAAATATATAAAAATACTAAATAGATCAAGGTAAATCACACATAGTAAACATGAAGGAAAATTAGAGAAATAGGTAATAAGATTTTACTTGCTTCGTGAACGAGGCAAGAGAAAAGCTTTAAGTATTATTGGGATTAATTATGTACTTATTAATAGGATGAATTTGTATGTTAAATTTAACTTTAAAATCCGATAGCTATGATTAAAGTCTTATATATAATATATATAATTAAAGTCTTATTTTTAGAGCAAATTTTCTAAACTGTTTAGAGATAATTTATATACATACTTAAATGTAGAATATTAGACAATTATTAAATATATAATGAAACATATTTGAAAATTTTTACAAAAATCAGTTTAAAGGATTATAAGTGATGACCGGGCAAAGATACGGGCAGACTACATATTTTGACGTATTCATTAGATGTCTAAATATAGAGTATCTTGTGTTCATTCATAAGAGTAAATTAATTAAAGGAAATCACAGAGTACAAGTGTAATTATATACTTAGGTACATATATTTTAGTAAATATATTATTTACATTATTAAATTATGATCAGTGTTATTGATATTTATATATTATTAATAATACTCACCATAACTAGGTAATATTAATTCACGCCTCCTCGAGTAACATCCATTGCAGATGCTACAATCCGCCATTTTAATATGTTGTTTTAATTATCACAGATAAAAAAAATATATAAATCTTTGGTATTGTAAAAAAGTTTCACATTCAAAAGTCACTGTCACCATGAATTAGAATTAAGAATAATGTTTATATTTGGAATCCGCGAATGTACAAAAAAGGAACGCATAATCGATCTGATCGGCAAATTCATAAATGGAACGTAACGACGGCGCGCTCGCGTTTCGATTTTAATCTCACGGGCGGATACGTTCAGTGGCCGCGTTACATGTAATGTGGGTCCTGAACGTTTTTCCGTCGCTTTTATGCAAGCGGTCGGCGCTCCTGTGATAAAGGGTGAAAAAAACTGATTGTTTGCAGGGCCCGTCAGTACGTCATAAATGCGACGTTGCGCGTGGTTAGGACGTAAATGGGCACATGGTCTTACGCAATCGCTTGTCCAAATAAATACATGTGTTTCAGTACCGGATTCTGGAGGTGTATGAAAATTGTTACCGATATAATATACCGTTGATTTGGTATCATGTCAATATTGTTATGTTGATTTTTTTTATTGATATAGCTATAAAATGAACGTCGTTGATTGATTTATAAAAATGATGTAATATTTATAAGCGTGCAAAAAAGATTCCAATAAATATATTTAATTTTACTTAATTACATAAAATACACAGATTTGAGACTGCTAAAATAAATGTAAATTTATTAATAGAACATTTTTTACTTTCTCATAAATAATTTTTTACAGTGGTTAAACTAAATGCAAATTTTTTTAGGTATAATTAATTTTTGCCATAAATCAAAGAGTTATATAAATTTAAAATAAAAATTAGTTTCCTGAATTTTTCTTCATTTTATAAAGTTACTAATGTCATATAACAAATAGAATTAAACTTTTTTCACCTGTATTGTGTTACAAAAATTTTATATTTAGAAGTAAATACTTAATTCATTACAAATATTTATTACTTGCGGTGACAATTATTAGGCAGATGTATTTTGTTTTGTATAATTATTGTGGAATAGAGACGCGTGCCCACCAGTGGGGTTTATTAAAAAATCCTATCTATTAAGATAGGATTTTTCTAACTTTTAATAATATTAATATTGTATTATGTTGAAAAAGGACAGAATTGAAATAAACACTATAAACACAGGGTTGATTTTAACAACGACTATAATAAAAATAAATGTAAATAATAATAAAAAAAAAAAAAAAAGTTAAGATCGTGTTCCACAAAAAATCCTACTCAATTTTAGCAAAATCTTTTATTTTGATTTCTAAATTAAACTTTTGAACCGATTTTGATATTTTTTTTTTTATGGAATTTGTAATCGGTTTATAACTGACGGTGTTATTTATTTTCATTTGGGACAAAAAACAATTTAACAATTCATTAGTCATACATCAGTATATAGAAATATTTTATTTATTGCAAAAGCAACACCGTTATCCACAGGTTATGAACAAACATAAAAAAATATAACTTAATTAAGAACATCCTTTTTTGAAGTCTGTAAAAAAACACCGGATGGCTTCCGATCAAAAAAAAAATTAAAATAACAGATTTAAGAATTCATTTTAAATCTAATTTAATTTAGAGCCTTTAATAAAAAAAAAAAACCATAAATTTCAATATTCTAATATAGTTATTTCATAAATCGTGAAATTGCATGCATTTATCAAATATAGAGGGAGATAAAGATAGTTTTGCAGGTGCGTATTTTGATCTGTTGTGTGGTTTAGAAGCAATTAACGGAGAAACAGTCATTTCAAAATTGTTTTATACTATTTAAAAATCTTTAAATGTCATAACTATCGGTTTAACTTATGTATATTTTAGTCGAGACAGTTTGACTAGTTTGGGGATCATCCAGGACCCTTAATCATGAGCAACTATGACGTGAGGCTCGCTTGTTGCGCTTAAGCTATTTATTTGAAAAATACTATAAATTCAACAATAACATAACAGGATAGTTCAATAACCTTAATCTTATCACGTTAACCCGATAAGCGTTCTGGCGAACATGAAAGTTCTATTTTTAGTAAAATTAGAATTTATCACTACGCTTTAAAATTGAAAATGCTTTACAAGCGCCACTTTCGTTGTTTCAGGCGGGGTGTTTTCACGCGCTTCCGCCTACCAGACCGCCTCTCGGGTTAGCTCCAGATACTCCCGTTCTATTGGCCAGCTGTAATTATTCCTTCGCCTATAAACGCTCTCTACTGAGTTATTTTGCAATAAATCGATACAGAAATATATATACTGTGAGGGGGGGGGGCAGGCATTATTATTAATTGGGTCAGGTCTATCTCCACGTGGTTGTTTACCTCTTGAAACGGGTTTTCATCGGTTTTTTTTAATGGATGAAAATGGAATGGTGACCCCGCCCGTATTAACCGTATACGCCGGCGGGGCACCAGTGAGGGACGATATTAGAAGATGAAAACACGTCAGTTAGCCCATCGTCATGAATATACCTGGGATTTAGCATTATGGTTTCCAGAGGGGACTACGTGGAGATCGATCTGGTTGGGTATATTGTTAGCAATGGGACCCCCAGTATTTTTTACTAACAATTCCTTCCCCAGTGTACGGGCGGAGTTACCATTTCCTTACCATCCATTAAAAAACCTCCTATCCTGTTACAGTTAGCGGACATCAGGAAATCATGTACATTCATCAGAACATGTTTATTGTATTCGTATCTAATAAATTATTGCTATTATTAATAGTGCATGTAATATTTTCTATACTAATATAATAAAGAGAGATTTTTTCTGTGTTAGTTTATTTATAAAGGATAAACACGAAAACTACTCAACCGATTTAAAAAAGTTCTTTCACCTATAGAAAGCTACATTATTAGCCAGTAACACAGGCTATATATTGATAAAAAAAATATTAATAATTCTTACGAAAATTATAATAATCCTACACAAAGTATCAAAAGATTGTCTATTAAAGTTAATAAAAAATACAAATTTATCTTTCTATCTATTTATTCATGTGAAGGGGCGGATCGCTCGAAATCGGGATGAATTTTTTTTTATACAACTTAGAATGGCAAACAAGCTGACGATCCACCTGATGGAAAGTGATAACCGTCGCCTGTAGACATGAGCAGTACCATGGACATAACAGAGTATACTGTTTCGCCCATGATACCCCCCATGCGTTGCCATTCCTGAGGACTCAGGTGTTATTCCTCTGTACCCAGTAAATTCACGCCATATCCCACCCTTCAAACCGAAACACAGCCATGCAAACACAACTGCTTCACGGTTGAAACACGAATGGGACAGAGATACCCAAGCAATCGACTTTTGTACAAAGTCTCCCTCTGGTAAAATTTGATGTGCAGATAAACCATATCCTATATTAAAATATAGTGTACTTCATAATAATTCACGCAGGAAAAACTGCGGGATACAGCTAGTTATAAATATAGGTTATTTCCGCTGTGTGGTGATAAGTCAGTTTTTGATTACAAACTTATAAATGTAAATTAATTGTTGATATTAAAAAGACTTTATTGAATATCATTTATCAATAGGATATTCTTTATTTCCTGCTTAGCGTTTATTATCTTCAATATATCCTTATAATTAGGTATTATTTGTTTTGGATTTGTTAATTATGATTTTTAATTTTCGAATAAAGTATCTTTCACTGTGATTACTTTACAAAGATAAATACAACCAAAGGTTTCTTACTTCTATCTGTCCTTATTAATAATATGTTACCTCATAATGCCTTAACGGCTAGGATAGGACAAGTAGGACATAGGTTACTTTTCATTCTAGTCAGTAAATATATCCCAGTCATGCGGAAGAATCCGAGAGTATATAAAAAAATGTAGTATTAAAATGAAAACGGAATAGGTTCTTTTTTTTGTAACTCGCATCCATAAACCAAGGGTTCAAAGCCAGTAAGTCAATGTTTCTATGTCACGTGACGTTGTGCATTGTTAATGCAGTAATTAACCATATAAATCGTAACATCTTGCTGCAGATCAGAACAAAAGAGTAATTTAACGTGTAAGGTTGTCATTCACACCGAAGCGAATCTATATTAATACATACAATTGCAATCTTGTAAACATTTGCAGTACTAAAAATATTATTATTTATTAGTACATATATGCGTACATAGCGAACTTAATACTAAAAGCATTCTCTCCCAGTCAACCATAAGGAAAATTACTTAGATTAACATTACAAAGAACCATTACTTATTTAATAAAAATTGCTGTCTTGTACTGAAAATGCTCTATATGTATGTGTAAATGTGCCTATAAATTAATTAATTAGAAGCTAAATTATTTTACTAATATTATAAATGTGCAAATAATTTTGTTTGTTCACTTGTCTTGGTGTTCTTACATCTTAACTATAGTTAAATTTAGACACGTATTGCATGGGAGAAGAATATAAGTTTCTAGTTATATATTCCGGTCACAAGGATGAAGTGGCGGGTAAAAACTAGTTATTTGTATTTGTTTCTTTAACTGCACGAGTAAAAAACTTTCAAAAGAAAAGTAATTTATTGGTAAAATTTGTAAAATAAGTAAGATCAGGTCAATAAATACACGAACATGGCAAACAAGTATACAGTCCATGTGATGGTAGACGGTCATTATAGCCTACGGACGCCTGTAACATTAGAGTTGTCTCGTGCGCGTTATTGACCCTGAAGAAGCATTAATATAACCTTTTTGAAGAGCCCCATATTGTAGTCTCTAAGAAAAACTTTGGTGTCGACGTTTTGTTCAGTACTCAAGGGAAATTTCATAGTTAATTTCTATCTACTTTTATAATTACAATACACAACAGTGTAACGGTTAGCCTTATTGTAGTTGCCAACACGGAAAAAATTGCCACCTTTCTTAGGGAATTCTAATTGGGAAGAGGTACTGTTTAATGTATTTAAAACGTGGGGTAATTTTGAACATCCTGATACTGAGATTACGAAGAATCTTAGTTACGTTTCGCCGGTGAAACCCCACGTCATAAACATTGCTCATTGTCTATGCAAATCCGCTATTCTATAACAATGCCGTCATATCCGATTACTTGCATCAATTGTATCCGTGTCGAAACAAAAAAAAATTAGTTTGCTCAGAATAACTGCGCTATGGCAGTAATACAATATGTAACAAACTACTGTATGAGTGTTGGCCATGTTGACAACTAATTATTAGTAATAATAATAATATTTTTTATATGTTTTTTAATTTATCTTTTTTTAAACAATTTTTAGTGATATTTGAGA